TAAAGGGAAAGCAGCAATGTTCGAAGGAAGACAATTCAAGTTCAGCAATCAGGTACCCGCCTGAAAAACAAAGGGAAAACACCTCAGAATACAATTCAAGTTAGCAGCAAAGGAATTTCACCTGGAGAGTACAAGTCAACAAAGCAACAGAGATTGCAAGATCAAGTTTAAAGAACTGTAGATAGGATTCTTGTAATTCATAGATGATAGTTTAGTCTAGCTACTTTTATTTTGTCTTGGTGTAATAAGGAGTTCAACAAGCAGTAGCAGCAGCAACAACAGTGAAATTACACTTCCTGGTAGTCCCAGCTACCGAAACTTCCCGAACAAGCAGTAGCAGCAGCAACAACAGTGAAATTATAGCCAAGGATATGTAGGCAACCTCGGAAGCAAGGTGCGGTCAAATCTTTCAAAAATGCTTCCCACGGAGTATTCAAACGGGCAAAAATTGCTCGTATCCGCTCACTTTATCTTTGCACGAAAACTCTTTGTGTTTCCGAGCAAAGAGGGGCAGCTGTGAGCACGTGATTTTTGCCCTATATGAATTACTCCTACAGAATCCCAAGGAATTAGATTTTTCTTTTAATTATTTGCCATTTTAGGAATTTCTGTAGAATTTTCTTAATTATCTACATTTTTCTGCGCATGTTTTTATTTAATTCATGAAAATACAAAAATACTCTGCATTTGCATTTAGGATTTATTTTTATATTTTTAGGTTAATTAGTAAATTAGTTGTTTTATAAAAATGGAAAATCACAAAAAATAACTCATTTTGCATTTTAACTTTTTAATTTTTAATTTTATAGTTTTTCTTTTAATTTAGGAGTTAATTAATTTTTGTAAATACTATGACGAGTAATTAGGTTATTTTGGTAAGTTAATTTAGTTTAATAGTAAATTTAGGTTTTTAAATTAATTTGAAAAGGAAAAAGAAAATTGGAAATTAAAAAGAAAGAAAAGAAAAAAAATCAAAAGAAAGGCTTTGATTTTGGGCCAATTCGTAACAACCCAAACAATTTTTCCCAAAGAACCGTTCCAGTCCAGGCCCAAACCACGCCCCAATCCAGTCCAACCATTCAGTCAATTAAACAGCTCAAACGACGTAGTATAGGAGAAAAACTACGATGTTTTGAGTTCTCTAATGATAAGAGATCTGGGCCTTTCATTTTGTTTCATCTAACGACTGTCAAAGCCTTCCCTTTTTCACTTAAAAGTGTCTGAAGGTCAGTCAAGCAACCTAGGACCTGGTTCATCTCCACTTCATCTTCCTCATCTGAAACCAAACCCTAGCGCCGCCCTAAATTCCTCCCCGTCTCCGGTGGCGGCGCCACCCCAAACCGCCTCCAAAATTACACCCCATAATCCTCAGCCCTTCCTCTTCCTAAATCCCAAACCAATTTCCCTCAAATCTTTCTCCATCGCCTCGAATTTCAGATCTCAGATTCAAGCCCTAAAACACCAAAATCGCCTTACCTCAGATCTCTAACATGCAAGGTTTAGGTCTTCAAGTTTCCGAGTTTCGAAGGTCGATTTAACTGAAATAGATGTTAGTGGCTGGTTCTTGGCAAAGAACAGGCGGTTAACATTAGTTTGGGTTTAAATCAAAGCAACCGGAGTCCATCAAGATAGTCAATAAGTATTTTCTTTCTCTATACCCGTCTCTGTGGTCGTATTTGTTCTGTTTGTTCTCCAATTTCTTTTTCCAATTTTAAAGCTGTTCGTTTGATTTTGTTTGGGTTATTTATTTGCCTTGATTAGTTGTTATTCATGTTAGTAGGTTCTGATTTTTGTTTAGCCCATTAGTTTAATTGTATTCATCCGAGAGGCCTTCCTGTTTTAGTCTTATAATTAGTTTAATTAGGTTTTGTTTTGACTTAGTAATCTAGTTTAATTCTAGCTTATCTAGGTTAGTTTAATAAATCACTTATTCAGCCGGGCTTTTGATTTTGAAATCATATGGTGCTGATTTGTTTCTTCTTCTCCTTTTCATAAATCATTGAAATTGTTTTTAGGTTTGGGTCATTTTGTTTGATTGGGCCTATGGGTCACCTTTGACCTGGTTCACAGAAGCCCAGTCATTTGGTTTGGGTTTTTTGTCTTGGTTTGACCCATGAGCTGTGTTTCCTGAGGGTAAATAACAGTATTTTTAAGGGTACTTAGGGTATTCTCATTAGAAGAATTTTGTGTAACTAACTAGGAAGCTGCTAGAAAAGTGGGAAGATGGACTATTTTATCAAATATGCTAGAAAATCAGGGTTTAAAATGAAAAAATGAAAATTGGGGAAGGGGTATTGGTAAAACTTGAAATCATTTCTGCTGCCCTAGAGGTCTTCAATAAAAGGCCTGTTTTCTTTCTTTTGAAGGCACACTTTAGAGATTTTAGAATACCAAAAGAGCATTCAAACGGCTGAGCTCAAAACACTGAAAATCTTTTGCATTTCTGGTGGGAATTAGCTTAGTTCTGCTGTTTATCTTCATAGCTTGAAACCTTTTCAAGAATTTCTAGTTCATTCTGGGTCCGAAAAATGGTTTAGAAGGATTGAGTTTTGCTGTTGTTTGGCTGTGTTGGTACTGCTGATATACTGCTGTTGTTTTACTCCTAACCTCATGCTTATTTTTCCTGTTGTTTTGTTGCTGTAACTAGGTATTCCCTAGCCTTCATTGACATGTGAAATGAAAGGATCTGCAGCTATGCTCTTAAACTGGAAATCTATGACACATTTGTTTTATTGAATGTTATATTTATGTTACCAGGTCCAGTCAATTCTGTATTTTGTTTAAATTTTCTTTTCATGTGTTATGTTTTTCCATTTCCGTTATTAGCTTTGAATTTTGTTTGTAAGTTGGCTACATGCTTTAATTCAACCTGTTGGTTTGTATATTGATGGGAGATACTATTTGGATGTGTGGACTTTTGGATCTATTAGAGCTATAGAAATCAGTATAGTATTAGGAGGTTCAATTTGAAATTGTTTAGTTGTATGTATGGGTTCGAATGGTAGCCCATAGTTAAACTTCAATATTATCTAGATTCAGAATCATATATGGCTGATTCATAATTAATGTATAAATGTGTAAGCATAATGATTTTTTTTTTTAAAAAAAAAAGAGAAAAAGGAATAATCATGTTTTTCTTTGTCTCCACTAAATGTAAATTACATAACTTAGGCAGCCATGTGTTTCATGCCAAAAGGAAAATAGTTGTGTATCAATCGGTTTATGAACTGAAATTTTTAAGGGTTGCTGGGCTTGACGTAGGCCCAAGGCAGTTAGCCTGTGGCCTTGTAGCATCGCCTTGGCATGGGCTCAATTCAGGGTCCAATAGCTAGCATCTTTCTTGCTTTCTTGAATGATGTTTGGTTCAACAAGAAAAGGATTTTAACAAAAGTTCAATTTTAAAATGGGGATTCAATTTCAGATTTTCATGAAGCTTTAGTTGAGTTGTGTAAAAATGATTTTGTATGTATGTTTATTCTGGGAGTTGGGCCTAATGCTGGCCCAATCGATGTCGTCTCAATCGTTTGGGACCACCCTTTGCCTGATTAGTCTCTGGGGTTAAGTTTTAGCCCAAGGGCCCCATGCCTTCCTTTAATTGTTTATTAATTAGGCGACAATGTGTCTCATACAAATATTAATGTTCTTTAGGTTTAAATGAATGCTTAATGGATTGAGGTGTGCCATTTTTAACCATATCATCCATGGCCCTCACAAATACTTTTATTAGTTATAAAAATGAATATTCGTAGAAAGGACTTTAGGCGCGTTTAAAATACCATCGTGATTATGTATACGTTCGCGTAACATAATTACGATTTTAAAAACCAATTCGGAGTATGTGTTCACGCAACTTCGATCAAATTCTTCTTAATAATAAAATTGATTTCAATAGGCTACTAAATTAATTTAGGTTTATGTAGTCCGAGGTGTGCCATCTACATTTTAATCATACATGGCCCTCGTGTTAATTTCCTAACCTAGATATAAACAAATGCTCGTAGTTGCTTTAGGTCAGTTTAATATATCATTGTGATTGTGGACACGTTTGCGTGACATAATTACAATTTCTAAAAAACAAAACCGGAGTATGCGTACACACAACTTCGGCCAAACTTTCTTAATAATAATAAAGCGTTATTAATTGTGGACACGTTCGCGTGATATGATTTTTTGACGCGCCAAACAAATGGGTACACGTACGCGTGACTCGTTTCAAGATAATTTTCTTAATTTAAAAGCGGTAAAAGGTAAATTCACATAGGTTCTAAAATCAGTAATTAAACAATTTGATTGAGCCAAGTATGATCAAAGCGACCGTGCTAAAACCACGGAACTCGGGAGTGCCTACCACCTTCTCCCGGGTTAACATAATTCCTTACCCGGATTTCTGTGTTCGCAGACATAAACAGAGTCAAATCTTTCCTCGATTCGGGATTCTAAACCGGTGACTTAGGACACCATCAATTATCCCAAGTGGCGACTCTGATCTTAAATAATAATCTCGTTTCGATTGTCACTTTAATTGAAAAAAACTCCCTTATACCCTCTCCGGGGGTAGTAAAAAGGAGGTGTGACACCACCCATTTGGTAAAGTACTCTATTGCAACCAATATGAATCTATTCCTATTTGAAGCTTTTGGCTCGATTGGGCCAATGACGTCCATTCCCCAAGCAACAAAAGGCCAAGGAGCCGACATAGGACATAACTCTGAAGGAGGAGAGTGAATCAAATCACTGTGAATCTGACACTGGTGGCACTTGCGAACAAAACGAAAGCAATCTCGCTCCATAGTAAGCCAATAGTATCCTACGCGAAGGATTTTCTTTGCTAGAACATATCCATTCACGTGCGGAACACAAACTCCCGAATGCATATCATTCATAATCATTTTAGCTTCTTTGGCATCCACACATCTCAACTAATTCAAATCCGGAGTTCTTTTGTACAGGATTTCCCCACACAAAAAGAAACCATTCGAGAGTCGCCTAATAGTTCTCTTTTAATCCCTATTAGCTTGTTTCAGATATTCTCTTGTTTTCAGATACGGTTTAATATCACGGTACCATGGTTCACCATCTAGTTCTGCTTCAATTGTATTGAAATAACCATGTTGATCCTGAATTTGAATTTCTAATGGGTCAATGTGAGTATTACCTGGATATGGAAGCATTGAGGCCAGGGTGGCCAAGGCATCAGCTAATTCATTGTGAAACCTGGGATTGTACCTGAACTCGATGGACTTGAACTTTTTGCTAAGATCTTCCATACACTGTCTATATGGAATGAGCTTGATGTCTCGAGTCTCCCAATCACCTTGAGCCTGCCGAATAAGCAAATCTGAATCTCCCATCACCAACAGTTCATGCACATTTAGGTTTATTGCCATGTTCAGACCCATGATGCAAGCTTCATATTCTGCCGTGTTGTTTGTACAGAAGAAACGAAGTCGCGCCATGGCAAGGTGATGTTTCCCAGTAGGTGATACAAGAATTACGCCAATCCCTATGCCTTTGATGTTGACAGCCCCATCAAAGTATAGTTCCAAACTTGACTGTCATCTTGGACTACTTCTTTAACTAAATTAACCTCTTCATCTGGGAAGTATGTGTTCAAAGATTCATACTCATCATCTATTGGGTTTTCTGTTAGATGATCAGCCAAAGCTTGCGCCTTCATGGCAGTATGAGTGACATAAACAATATCAAACTCTGTGAGAAACATTTGCCACTTTGCCAATCTGTCAGTTGGCATCGGCTTTTGAAAGATGTACGTCAAGGGATCTATTCGGGATATGAGGTAAGTTGTATAGGCCAGAAGATAATGCCTATGCTTCTGAGCGACCCAGGTTAAAGCACAACATGTCCCTTCCAAAAGAGTGTATTTGGCCTTATAAGTAGTGAAATTTTTGCTCAAATAATAGATTGCTTGTTCCTTTTTACCCGTGGCATCATGTTGACCCAAAACACAACCAAAATGTAACGACCCGACCAGTCGTTTTGAGCTCTAGCGCGTCGTTTAGCGGTTTGAGGCCTTGAGCAGCTTCACTTCAGGTATTATGACTTGTACGCATGGTCGGAATTGAATTCCGGAAAGTTCGAAGTTGATTTGGAGAGAGAATTCTCATTTCGGAAGCTTTAAGTTGAAAGAATTGACTAAGATTGGATTTTTGAGTAAACGACTTTGGAGTCAGGATTCGAAGGTTCCAGCAGGTTCGTATGATGATTTTGGACTTGGGTGTATGTCCGGATCGGGTTTTGGAAGACCCGAGAACGTTTCGGCACCTATTGTGGAAGTTAGCATTTTTGGAAGAATTTCATAAGTTTTGGTTGAAGTGCATTTTAGAGTTATCGATGTCCGTTTGGGATTCCGAGTCTGGGAAGAGCTCCGTATGGTGATTCTGGTGTTGGGAGTGCGATCGGAAGTGAATTCAGAGGTCTGTGGGTCATTTGGCTAAAGTTGGAATTTGAAGGTTTTTGAGTAGTTTGACCGGAAGTGCACTTTTCGATATCAGGGTTGGATTCCGATTCCGAAAGTTGGAGTAGGTCCCGGGGGCCTCGGGTGTGTTTCGGGTTGTATTGCACTCTTATTTGAAGTTTCAACGTTGTTTCTTCGGGAATAAAGGGTACCACATTAAGCAAAGGAGCTCCAAATTCAGCTTTTATTGAACCATTAGATCCGTATCGTAATTACGGAGTCATAGCAAAAAGAATCATCAAATTTGGACATCGTATGAGGAAGTTATGCTCATTTTTGTGTCGGAAAAAACTGCTGTTTCTGGTATGGTCGCAATTGCGAACATATCCATCGCAATTGTGATGCCCAGTTCGCAATTGCGAACTTTTTGTCGCGAATGCGACCTTTTCCAGCCCTTCCTTGTTCGCAATTGCGAAGGCTTTCTTCGCTTTTGCGAGGGTTCGCAATTGCGATCCCTGGATCGCAAATGCGACATCTGAAGCTTGTTTTCAGCTGTGTAACTCGGGTTTTTGCTTCATTTTATCATATTTTGAACCCTACGTCCGATAGTGGGCGATTTTGAGAGAGGATTTTCGTATCAAATCATTGGGTAAGTGCCTCTAACCAATTTTCAATTATATTTTGTGATTATACCTTAGATTTAACATCAAAATTCATGAGAATCTAAAGGAAAATTTGGGTTTTAAAGAAAAACCTAGAAATTGAGATTTTTGGATTTTGACCACAATTTTGGGCATGGAATTGAGAATAAATTATATATTTGAGTTCATGAGGTCATGGGTAAACTTTATCTTTAAAAAATTTCGGAATCCGGGCACGTGGGCCCGAGGGCAATTTTGTCAACTTTTCGATCGGGGTTAGGAATTGTTATAAATTGGACTATATTGAGTAATTGAACATATATTAATGGGTTTACATAGTTATTGGCTAGTTTTGGAGAATTTTGCATCGATTTGAGTCTTCAGAAGGGTGTGGAATGCCGGTTACGGAACTTCGGAGCAAGGTGAGTCTCCTTTCTAACCTTGTAAGAGGGAATTAACCCCATAGGTGAACGAAATTAATATGTGCCTCTATTTGTGGGGGCTACGTATGCACGAGGTGACGAGAGTCCGTACGTAGCTTCTAGCTATGCCTATGTCCGGGTAGTTTTAGGTTTACACCATGCCTTGGTTATATTGTTGTTGATTTATGTTTATTGTTTGCCTTGAGAAGAAGTGAGATTGAGTTTGCTTAGTAAAACTCTTGAAAAGAGTTGAAATTGAGGAATTTGAGATCTTAAAAGTTTTTATTTGAACTTCGCATTTTTGAAATGAATTGAAGGAATATTATAATAGCTTAAGAAATCTATTTGTAACCGCGTTGCATGTATGTTTCGCGAGCGGGGTACTCTCCTAAAAAAGCTACAAGCTGAATTTCCCTTATTTTGAAAAGAATCAAGAAAGTGATATGATTTTAATGTTAAATTTATATTTGACCTCGTCGCAAGTATGATCCGCGAGCGGGGTGATTCCTTAAATTTATTTTTTACCTCGTCGCACGTACGATTCGCGAGCGGGGTATTTCCTTCTACTACTCTTATGGGATCGGGTCGTTCGGCTCGGCAGGATTTATGTACCACCCTCTTATGGGGGCAGGCCGTTCGCCTCGACAGGTTAATAGATGCATCTATGGTTCGCGTCATTCGACCCTCGGCAGTGCAAATTTTTCTTTTTTGTTGGATCGGGCCGTACGCCTCTGCACACATCATTCTTATGGGACTCGTGCTTAACATTTGGCTAGCAGCCAGTGTATCTAAGGATCTTTCCCTGATTTGAAATTGTAACAACCGTTTTATGAAAGCCACTATACCTTTATGTATATGTTCCGATTACGGAGGGAACATGCTAGTTGAGAGCTTGAGTATAGTCGTAAAGAAGGGAATTGTTTCACGTATTTTATACATGTTTGTTTAATATGTTTACTCTGCTTCATATGTATTCACTTCTTTACTGCATTTGATGTCATTGGACCACTAGTAAGTGTCGAAGTCGACCTCTCGTCACTACCTCTTCGAGGTTAGGCGGGATACTAACTGGGTACACGTTGTTTTTTTACTCATGCTACACTTGCTATGCCTTTTTGTTGCACAGGCACATGTTTGTCTTGTGGCTTAGTTCGGCGCAGCGGCATGGTTGATACGGAGACTGGGGTGAGCTGCATTTCTCGAGACGGTCCGTAGCCAGCAGAGTCTCCTTCAGAGTAGTGTATTGTATTTCCTTTACTGTCCAATTTGTATTCCGGACGGTTAGTGTATTACATTGTTCCCTATAAATTGCTCATGCACTTGTGACACCGGGTTTTGGGATGACTAAGGAATTATTCAGTATTTAGGTTTGTTAAAGACATCATTATTTATTCAGTGGAATTCTTTATTAATTGTTTATGTTTAAAAAGGAATGATTTCAAAATAGTAAAACAAGAAATTTCTATTTATTTGGTGTTGGCTTGCTGGACAGTAGTGTCAGGCGCCATCACGATCCTTAGTTGATTTTGGGTCGTGACACAAAGGAACTATCCATTACTAACAGATTTAAAAACATAGGCCTACCAGGTTCCGGCGGGACCAAAACAGGGGGATTTGACAAATATTCCTTGATCTTATCAAAAGCTTCTTGGCACTCATTTGTCCACTTGATAGCAGCGTGCTTTTTCAACAACTTGAAAATAGGCTCACATGTGGTTGTAAGCTGTGCGATGAACCTGCTGATGTAGTTCAACCTCCCGAGTAAACTCATGACTTCTTTTTTATTCTTCGGGGGAGGCAGCTCTCGAATGGTCTTTATCTTGGAGGGATCTAACTCAATGCCTTTTCGACTAACTATAAAACCCAAAAGCTTCCCAGAAGGAACTCCAAATGCATATTTGGCTGGATTGAGTTTGAGATTGTGCCTTTGTAGCCTTTCAAAGAACTTTTTCAAGTCTTGCACATGATCATCTTGTATTCTGGACTTAATGATCACATCATCAATATACACTTCAATCTCTTTGTGCATCATGTCGTGTAATATGGTAGTCATGGCCCTCATATAAGTTGCTCCTACATTCTTCAAACCAAATGGCATGACCCTATAACAATAAGTTCCCCATGGAGTGGTGAAGGCAGTCTTTTCTACATCTTCTTCATCCATCAGAATTTGATGATACCCGGCATAACAATCCATAAAAGATTGGATCTCATGTTTAGCACAATTGTCAACAAGGACATGAATGTTGGGTAAGGGAAAGTTGTCCTTTGGACTTGCTTTGTTCAAATCCCTATAGTCAACACAAACTCTAATTTTCCCATCCTTCTTTGGCACTGGCACAATGTTTGCTAACCATGTGGTATTTCTGACGACCCTGATCACATTTGCACTTAGTTGTTTGGTGATTTCTTCTTTAATCTTATCACTCATGTCTGTCTTAAACTTCCTTTTGTTTTTGCTGGATTGGTGGAAGATTAGGATATGTGTGAAGCTTATGGACCACTAAATCTGCACTCAAACCCGGCATGTCATCATACGACCAAGCAAATACATCTCTGTACTCGAACAAAACTTGAATTATGGCATCTCTTTCTTTTGTTCAGTATGAATGCTTATTTTTGTTTCTCTGGTTTCTTCAAGACTTCCCAGGTTAATTGCCTCAGTTTCATTTAAGTTAGGCTTGGGCTTATTCTCAAATTGATCCAATTCCCTTTTTATTTCCTTAAGAGCCTCATCTTCATCATACTCAACTTCCCGATTCATTATTTCAAGATTAGACAACTTTTTAAGATCTGGGCATGAATTCCGCGTGCATGTCATGTTTTTAAAGCCAACATTAACGAAACTAAAAATGATAAGAAATTAACAAAAATTAGGGAAAGGAATAGATAGAATTTTACTATGAAACTGAAATTTCATTTCATTGAATTTGAAAGGATAGAAGGATTAACATCAAAGCAAAGCAATTAAACTAAAA